ATATTACATTTTTTTTCTATAGTGTTTAAATCCAGAAATCTAATTTTGTAAGTAACACAGCTATTGAGCTTTACTATTTCAATTAGCCAATGTATTGGATAGAATTATATGTGAGGTACTATGCCAGGAAATGCAAAATAAAAATTAACTTCTGTGGGATCCAGAATTCATTGTTTCTCCTACTTTTTCATGGTTTCTCACCCCTCTCTCAAGCCATTACTTCCCTCTGTACCCAACTTTAATTCCAAGATCAACTTATGTTTTTTATTGTCATGCAAACACTTTTATTTTTATTTCACTTAAAAATTTCAGTAAGTCAAATATAAACACATGTTGAAACATTTTAGATAACAAAAAATAGGCAACCACTCTCAGATTTTTAAAAACATAAGTAAGATCACAATAGCAGAAACCTGTAAACTACCTAAATGTCCATCAATAAAGAAGTGACTAAATCAACTATAACATATTCATGCTAGGGGGTATCATGTGCAACAATTAAAAAGAATGAGAAAGATCTCTTTGTCTGCCAAGATCCATTTATTATCACTCCCTTGGAAATACCCTCCGCTGCCCCTACCTTGCCCATCTGTAATGCACCCACTTGAACTTAAGTGCAATTCTCTGTCACTGGGCAGCTGTACCAGAAGACCACACTGGTCTTTCATGAAATTCACAAACACAAACACAGAGTGATCCCGGGATGGCTGGACAGTCATCAGCATCTCTATGACCCAATGTCCCTTCCACTCCCCCTGCCCTCCTCTCTCCTGAAACCTCCATCATCTCCTGCCTCATCCTCACTCTCACTGATGTATAAGTTTCCCAGGGCTGCTGTGACAATATACCACCAACTGGGGGAACTTAAAACAACAGAAAGTTATTCTCTCACAGTTCTGTGGCCTTGGATCTTTGGTGTGACAACACAACAGTCCAATATCTGCCTCTGCCTTCACATGGTGTTCTTCCTGCATGTCTCTGTATCTTCTTGTAAGGCCACCTGTCATATTGGATTAGGGTCCACGTAATGATTTCCTCTTAACCTAGTCACACCTGCAAAGACACTATTTCCAAATAAAGTCACACTTACAGGTACTGGGGATTAGACTTCAACATATCTTTTGCGGGGGTGGGGGGGTGTTGAGGGGGACATAATTCAACCTCCTCAGGCAGACTTGTTCCTTTTTGTCTCCTCTGTATAGTTTGTTTTTACTCAGATGACCACTTGGTTCCTTATTTCATTCTGGGAGGAAAAGTGAAGGGCCTTTCTGTGGCCTACAAGGACATAGAGCATCTGGAACTATTTCCTCTTCTGCCTTCCCTCCTAACGCCATGCCTCTTCCACTGTTTCAGCCAAGGTGGTATCTTGGCACCCCAGGAAGGCTTCCCCTTGGGGACGTGGCTCGACCTTGCTGATCTTACCCTGGACATCTTCCTGCCTCCTTTAAGGCTTTGCTCACATGTCACTTCATTGGTTCTCGTTACCATTTCTACTTTATTTTTTGTAACAGAAGTCACTCTGCAACTTGCAATGTAATGTTTATTTATTACTTCCACTGTTTGTAATGCATTTCCCACTGTTAGAATTTACACCTCACATGTGTTGTTTAACTGATACACTAAATTGTTTGGGTACTACTAGATCTTTAATAACTGTTGAATTTATCAGTATATGCAACCAGTCTTTCCAAACTTTTTTTTTTAAGAACCTGTCAAATATTTTGAAGGACATATCCCCCCTGAAAAAAATTACTGGTTTATATTTTTTTCTAAAATGATGTAATGAGCCACAAATTAGGTTTAGTAACTAAATACTCCAGTACTAAAAATTAATATAAAACAAATGTTGAGAACCCAGCCTGGAATATATTATTTTTGGTCAAAAATTAAAAAATTAATTTTATTAAGACAATTTGTAGGAAAATATATGGAGATATTAAAAGTAAAAAGTACACATTACCTTTTTTGTGACTGGAAAAACAACACATAGGGTTGAGGGGATTTTGTTGTTATAATTTCAATTAGCGAAGTTGATATATCATGTTATTCTCTTGGTACTTGCTAAGCATGCATCAAATATTCACGCATTTTAAGACACTTTCTTGAAGCATTTACTTTTTTTCAATCTAGGTATCATTGAGACAATATTCCTATTTATTAGAAACATTGTTAAGAAAATTTCTGTAGCTCATTATATTACATGAAGTGTCAGTAACTACTTGTTGGTTAAATTTCAAATAACAAATAGAACTTGGCAAAAGGAGAAACCTTGTCATCTGCAAAAGTATATCACATAAAACTGTTTCCAGAATAAGTAGATTTCTGTAGGGAAATTCTGTCTCTTGTGAACTATTTGAAGTCAATATTCAATTTAATAAATAAAGGATATGGTTAAAAATAATTAGGAATATCATTTATTTTAAATAACATTCTATATGCAAATAACTTTCATAGCAGGATTTATATCACTATACTAAAATATGTCAATTTGGGATGATTTAATATTATTCATAATGATAATAATGTGTGTATGAATATAATTTTCAGTCTAGAAAACCATATCAATGCATATGTATAGAGTGCACTGTTAAGAAGGTATTGCTTGATTAGACAAAATGTCAACCTAAATTAATAATGAGATCAAATATGTGTACTTGATTTACTTATCTGTAGTTTTGGGGCTGTCCCCACCCCCCACCGCTCAACCCTCCCTTACCCCACCCAACCTTTGAGTCCTATAGTTAAAACAGTCTTCCTGACTCACAGGTGGGATTAATCAAATTCAAAGCTGTTTAAGGAGTCTGATTTGAATGGAGGTAATAGGGATATATTTATGACACAAGTATTATGAGAAATAAGTTGGTTGCCATTTGGTATAAGTTTAAAAGCAATGTCTTATACCTGTCCAATGTTTACAGTGGAAAATAAGGCTCTCCTAGCAAAGACACTTAACATTATTTCAAAGATACTAAATTGTATAACCGTGAGTATCCTCACAGAAATGAAGCTAGACAATGGCCATATCTTAAAATCTAGGCAAAAAAAAAAAATGTCTCCTTGAATGTTAGGGCATGTGGAAAGACTCAGCTGTTGTTTACCTTGAAAAGCTCCTTAAATTTAGGTATTTACACCATTTGATAAATAATACAGTAGTGTCTCTGAAAAGAAGTTTCAAGTCATCATTCTGTTTATTCATCTCAAGCCAGCTTTTCCAAAAATATATTTCTTCCTGTATTTCTTATCTGGGGCTTTCAATAAGTCATATGGAATCAAAGTAGAAACACATTGTTACCAATGACAGGTTCACCTACACAGTTAATAAATTATTTACTTACATCATGCATATATCCAAAAACTACTATTGTACCTAACTGGGTAAATAAATGCTTGTGGAATATATAAAACAGGGTATGGTCTTTTCATCTAATGTTGTGATTGGTGAGGAAGAATTTATTTAAAGTGAGGCATTATAATGGAGTGATGAAGCTTAGAATAGTCATTTCAGGCAGTACCTAACATGTGGTCTGGGAATGTGGGAGTTTAGGAGTCTGCAGTAATTTGCAAGGGTTCAATATGTCCACATTTTTCTAGCTCTGTGACCTTGAGCAAGTTAATTAATCTCTTAAGGCCTCAGTTCCTTCATCTTTAAAGTAAGTATACTAATAATGTGCACTCATAATGTCAAGTGTGTAATTAACACTACGCTTACCACATAAGTACTCAGTAGCCACAGCTCTAATGATTTTATAGAATGAATAAATTCCATTTCTCCATCTGTGCTAATAATTTTACAATTTTGAGATGTTATTGTAATTACTAGATCACACATACACTTAGTAGACATTCTGATGTTGTTGATAGAGACAGAGATAGAGATAGAGTTAGATAGAAATAGAGGTAGAGATAAGGATAGGGATAGGGATAGGGATAGGGATAAGGGATAGGATAGGGATAGGGATAGGGATAGGGATAGGGATAGGGACAGAGACAGAAATATTTTTAGAATCACAGGTTGGAATCTGCAGTCCAGAGAGAATGAATACTAAATTCAAGGCCACAGAGTTTGTGAGAGGAAAAATCAGCATCCAGCAGGTAGAATCCCTCTTTTGCCAAGTGAGAAGGGAGGATCAATTCAGTGTCTTTACCACTGAGGCTCACCAGTGATCAGGGTTATGTCTGTTTTCAGATAAAAACTTGAAAAAAATGGTGTGGGTCATATTTCATTGCTATAAGCATATCATAGGCTTTTCCAACTCTGAAAATTATTAAATTGATATTTTAATAATCCAATCCATATGGATCAAGTGAGATTTGTCAGAATAACAATGCAATTTTACAAATAGATTTTGTTTGGTATTATTGTTTTATCCTGGTTTAAATATTTAAGATGTTTATGTTTATCAGCATTACTCAATTTTTTCAAAACTTCCCCGTTCCCCCATCTCCCGTCCCCCGTCCCCCATGACTTCATTAACTGCAGCCTGAGCTTCTGAGGCAGGAGATGAGGTACAATCATGGTCCAAGTCAAATAGAATTTAAGCATAATTGTCAACAAACATTTTCATTATTGCCAGAACTCAATTGCTATAACACTACTAAAAAGCTCATAAATTAATTAAAACTGTGCGTTCTGCACTTTCCCCAAGAAATCTCCACGGAAAGTAATGCAAATGGTGTGTAGCTTTTGATGAATTATGCTGCTCTCATTCCTAATGTAAGGTTGAGTTTCTCATTATTAAATGGTCATGTGCCAAGATAGTTGGTGGCCTAATGGTCAATTAAATTTCAAATGGTCTTTAAAGACCAGGATTAGTTATTTCCCTTTATTTTCAATTCTGTAATAATTGACTCAAATCCCTGAGAAAATGTTATTTTATTTTGTTAATCCTCACCTGAAGATATTTTTCCATTGATTTTTAGAGAGACTGGAAGGAAGGGAGAGAGACAGAAAGAGAGAACATCAATGTGAGAGAGACACATCGATTGGTTGCCTCTCACATGAGGCCCTGGGACCAGAGATTGAGCCTGCAACCAAGGTATGTGCCCTTGATTATGCCCTTGACCAGAATTGACCCTGGAACCCTTCAGTCCCCAGACTGACACTCTATCCACTGAGCCAAACCAGCAAAATCCCTGAGACATTTTTAAATGCACTTCATTTGCAGTCAGGTTTTGAGAATTATAAAATACTGCTTTCCAAAAATTTTTCTTACAAATGAACCTTTTTCATCATTAGACAATCATTAGAATTATGATATAGTACAAAGCAACAGTAACAATGCCAACATGTCAGAAATGGAACATCTTCATTTCACTATTGAAGACATTTTAATCCTGCTTCATTGTTTTACATTTACAATTTGCATGTCTCAGAGACAAACGCTTCATGGATACAGCTTGTGCCACAAGCATAGGTCCTATAAGTGTGGCCACTGAAAACAAATGGCTTTCAAAGGACTCACATTTGGGAAAATACTTGAAAATTTCTTACTGGATTTTCCCGTTGTCTTATATTACTCATTTTACACAAAACTTTAATGTTCGTGGGAAAAAGTACCTAGATTTCCTGCACCTCCAATCAGACGATGCAGGAAGAGTTCCAGACTCCTGGTCATAACCCCACAGTGAGCCCATGGAGCACCCTCTGATTACCTCTGTTATGATAACGGGGATTTGTGTGCAACACTGAAAAGTACCTAGAAAGCCATGTGTTTAAAGTTGAAAAAACCACGAGTTTCTCCTCTATGATAACTTATGTTTGCAAAATAAAAAACCCCACACATTTTGAGAGGTCAAGAGATCTGTCACACACAGACTTGGACATGGATACTGACTACACACAGCAAAAGACATTACAAATTATGGGCATCCTGGCATTTGGTTGATGTGCATGGAGAGCCTGGATCTGGTGACTCAGAGGAGGTTGGGGGAGAAGGTGTGGGAGTCCCCGAGCCTCTCCAGATGCTAGTGCTGCTCCTGTGTGTAATTCTCCCAGAGCTTGGTCACCTGCTGCCAGCACACTGGGGTACCTGAAGAAAGATGGAGAGGATGGGCAAGTCCCAACTAGGAAAGAGATTTCAGGACTTTTTAAAAATTACTTTTTTTGTGACATTATTATAGAGTAACAAGAAGTTGCAAAACCATATGAAGAGGTCTCTACAACTGCTCCCCTCCATGGATACAATGGTACTTTATCCTGATGTGGAATTATCCTGCTTCTGACAACCCAGTTCCATGACTAACCATGTCCCATGAACTTCCCTTACACTACTGTGAAAGGAAGAGCCTTTTTTGGACCACACAAATAGCGTTACCCTGGGAGAAACAAGGGGGAAACATGTTGATATGGGCACAGTCTCTTGATTGTGAGAAGATTCCAAGGTATGGCCAAGAGAGCTGGTGATGGTGATGGTGAGGAGGACACAGACATGATTCATATTGTTGTCAGGGGTCCCCAGACCCTGAAAGGTGTGAATACGGATATAAAAACCAAGAGCAAAGTATTTGGGTTGTCACTGACATATGTACCAAACAACCTGTTATCCAGTGTTATGTAAATGACGTTTTCCATTCTTAAGAATAACTTGTCTAGATAAGTAAAGGTGAATATTTTAATGTCTGAGGTATTAATTTGGCCACTTAATGGACGGTTTTCTACACTAAAATGTAAATCTCTCAGCTTCTTAAATTATATATCCCATACTTAATTGAATATTTTCAGTTGACACAATGTGTACTAGAAAGAACATCACCCCCGTGTGTTTTTCAAAGGAATTAGGCTTTCATAGTACTTTTGCTTCCAATGAGCTGGATCACCAAACAGCAAAATAGCACTTTAGCAATTTCCTTGATCTTCAGGGTTTCTGCTTTGATCTAGAACCATTTTAGTTCCATCTAGAACCATCTAGAATGAGCCTTTCTGGGCTTGCTACCCAACCCCTGTTTTCACTAGAGAAGCTTCTCATTTATCTTTGCTGTTTATTTCGTAATATTAAAGACTATCCTAAAATTTTGCTTGAGGACAGGAACTGCTGATAAGATAGATTTTGACAACCAAATCCCATGATCTCATTATGATCATGTGAATCTAGTTTGCCATAAGGTAGTGTTTACAACTAGAATATTGAAATTTCTAAGCTGTTAAATATGTTCCCAGTAGATAATCTAGGTGCTCCTCATTCTCCATCTCTTCCATTTGTTGCCCTTGACTTCTGGTGAGAATAGAATTTCAGCCAGTAAGAGCAGCCCGCTCCCACTTCCTCTTTCCAATTACAGGTTTTCCTATGAACAGCATACCCTGGAGGGAGGAAAGCAGTTCACACTCACAGGAGGTGGAGATCCACTGATAAACATGTATCTGTTGTTCAAATCAACAGAGACAAAATATGAATAGCTTGAATGAGCCAAGGTTTGCTTTTTGAAAAACCCCCTACGTCAGCACACAGTAGAATGAGGAAATGACACTGTTGATCAAGGTAAGGAAACATAACTGTCTTTCTGTAAAATTAATTAACAAATCAGCAGTTGACGTAACACTCTTTATATTGATCCTCTCATTTTCCAGAACAGAGCTGTACTCTGTTGCCATCTGGCCTTTTGACGCACCAGTGTTGCTCACATCATCATGTTTTCTTTCTTTCTTTAAAAAAAAAAAATCTCGAATGAGTCAACAGTGTCTCCTATGGCAGTTTGATTTTCTTGTTAGTTGATGCAATGGAAACAAGTAAATGCCTAACCATTTAAAGAATATTTTTTTAAAACCAGGTTCTTTGGGCAATTTTCTCCAAAACCCACACTTCTTCCTCATTGTTATCAAAAGTGCACCATAATTCCTGAGGTTAAGACACCAAAGGGCAGTTTAATCCAAATTATTCTGGGTGCTATATTTTTAACAGAATTCCAGGCATATGTAATATTAAAAACTAGAGGCCCGATGCACAAAATTCTTGCAAGAGTAGGCCTTCGCAGCCACCGCTGCCTGGATCCCTCACTCACAGCCACGGCGACTGCAGCCCTGGCTTCGTCCTGGAAGGACTTCCAGAAGGACATCTGGTCTAGTAATCAGCACATTATGCTTTTATTATTATAGATTATGTCTCCAATGTTATAATGAAATTAAAAATATGGTACACTCCATGGATAATGGATCATTTCTTATGAAAATGCTTCTGTGGTGTTTTAGATTCTAAATAATATCCTCACTCATTAACTAGATCAATGAGGAAATAGTAATTGGTAGGAATATCAGCAGTGGACCCATCCTAAGGAAATGTCCATAGGTTAACTTTATTTTTACTGGATAAGCCTTGATTCTGACAGGCTCTTTCACTAAAAGTAAAAATTATGGAACAACCAGTCAGAAAAACAAATTGCCCATCTGTGCTTTTGCTGATCCTTAGTAAGAAATGGGTAAAAGGGCGACATCTTTTGGATGCTCTAAAATGATTAACTTTTTAAACTCAGGATTTTTCCTTTTATGGCTGCCTGGAGATTAATCAGCACCTGTAAGAGTAGAATTTTGCAAGCAGGCCTACTTCATTAGCATTGCAAGACTTCAGACCTTTTACCAAAATTCTTTCCATCCACTTTCCAAGCCAATGACAACATTGTTCTGTGGGTGATGGGCCTTGCACTCTGATCCATTTTGAGGCAATTAAAGGATTTTTTTAAAAAATTATATTTATTCTTTTCCTCTCCCAAAATAAAAAGAGTATCTTTGATATTACATAGTGTTATTTCAGATATAGTAATGACAACATTACTCAAAGAGTTACATGGTGTCCATCAAAGATTAACCATCCAATCAGGGAAGACTCCTGATCAAATTTGGAGGAAGAAGAGATAAAATTGCAGTTTGGTGGAGGGTGAGCATGTGGGTCACCATGCCCTTTACGTTATCAGGGAGCACACTCCTCTCTTCTGTCTCTTCCATACCCTGTTCTGCTGTGTGGCCTTCTCATCAACCCGCTTCTCGGAATTCCTCACAGTCATGAAGGCTGCCTTAACCACATAATGAGGGCTTTCTGGCTGATAACCTCATCCTGTCAGTTGAGTTTGTCCAGCTTGCACATGTCCCCTGTGCAGACCAACACAGAGACAACACTCTGACCTGTGGCAGGTGGAGATAAGCATTTACTAGCTCGAGTTTCTTACAAACACAAGGAAGAAGAACAGCCACAATTAGAAAATGAAAGTGAGAGTTATTTCTTCATGTGAGAAGGTGCATTTGGCAAGACCCTTTGGATGAATGCTGTTTTAAGAAAGAGAGAGAAAAACCCATGTTATCAGCAAAGCTCAGCAAGAAAGAAGCACATGGTGGCCCCGGCACCCCAGTCATCCTCTGACCAGCACAGCCTTTCTTGAATCCAGAGCTAGATTCCAAATAAACTTCAGACTGCCTCTCCCCATTCTCTCCCGAGGTCAGCCACCGAGGCTATCTGGGTCCCCTGACCAAAACTACTGAACATCAGTTGCAATCAGAAACTTGAGCCAACCAGGTACTTTCTGCATACTTTAAACATAAATGAAATCTAAATACTCTTTCTCACAGTCTTTATCCAAAACCCCCTAACAGCATCTATTTCTCAACAATTCTCAAGAATTAATTAAAAAATTTGTATGACCATATAAAATTATAGACTGAAGTTATTATTTCTATCAATAGACTAAAAAAAAAAACACATGTAATTTTAACAATTTTGCACTCAAAGATATTCTTCTTTCCAGGTATTCATACTGATTATAAGTGGAAAATGTTTAATCCAAAGAATGCATAACATAAACAACAAAAGTCCAGACAAGAGCTTACTTGGTGCATTGTCTGAAGTGCTGTGTTTGTTAACTTGCGTGGTTTCTAGCCATCTCACAAACACAGACCCTTTAACACGGACTGAAAATACTTGTTACTACGTGCTTGTGAGATGGATGTTTTTATTTCAATGGTAGTTTAGTATCAAAGTGAAGGTGGACATGATTCCATTTGCCATTTTGAAGTCTTATTTCAAAGGCTTTGACGGGGTTAGAATTTCAAAAAGATGAAAAGCTAATTTGTGTATCCCAAGCTGTACATATCAGGTAAAAATTAGGAGGTGAATAGATACAGTGATATAAATGCATAAGTAAATGTACTACTTCAGAAACTCCCTTTCAAACACTACAGGCAATGCTTCAATTTCACTAGCATTTTTTTTTCCTGTTCAGTGGGGGAAGGCACAAGCCTGTGGAAAAGCAGTTCTAATTATGGCCTTTCTGGATCCTTCTATCATCTGAACCCATAACATTTCTTTGCTTTGCTGTGCTTTGCTCAAGGGACTGTGGGAAGTTAATGACAGAAAGAATGCAGCATTTCATATGCCAGATAGAATGGAGCATTTCATTAAAAATTGTATTAAGCCGTCACTCTAGTATATGAGCAAAATTGTTTAAGAATGAAATGTGAGGGTGGAAGAGGACCTCAAAATCCACTTCCCTCAGTTTTCTCGTTGCATGAACAGAACTGGAGGCTCAGAGACATTGGCTTGTGCAGCCACCTCATGTTTTTGTAGATGGGGAACAATGTTATGCAGTTAGTGGGAAAACATGGAATTTGGATGGAATCTGGGACCAGGCGTGAATTATAACTCTGCCTCTTTCTAGCTCTAGAGATATTACCTCCCTGGGTCTCAGTTTCCTCATCTGTGTAATGGAGACACCACCTATTCTATAGACATTAAACAGAATGCCATATGTGAAATGTCTGGTTTATAGAGTACATATTCAGAAATCTTATTTTGCCCCTTTCTCTAAAAGCAGATTGAGCTGCAGATGGGCTATGGCAGCCTGGCTGACTTCAGTCTCGAGTCATCCGATTGTACCAGACATTCTATTATGCCCTCGTCTGGTGTGATCCTTCCTGGACAACCCTGGATGTTTTAAAGCTACGTGAGAAGATAACTAAGGAGGTAACTGGTAACTGTGTATAGCCATATGAGGAAGGTGGTTGATTGTCTCTGAGAAGACCGGTGACTCTTCCTTGAGGGCTGACCAAGATTGACCCGACTGTGTGAGTTTCCATTCATGGCCAAAAGGTTGAACATCTGTACGGGTCTTCCTGCTCGTCGATGACATCTAGCTAGAGAACGCTCTCCTCTTTCCCAAATCCAGCTTTTCAACCTTCTAACCCTGATGACCTCCCACCTGCCATGAACCTAGTGTGGAAGTGATGTCCCGCATTCCCGGAAAAATCTCCTGGTGTCTCTGTGAATTAACGGCCCCTCACTCTCTGGGTATTTTAAGGAAAAAGAGCTTCAGCTTTGCAAAATGTCAAAGACTTTTAAAATAGTTTCTCCCTTGATACAAAGAAATTTCTCTTCATCAAAGAAGACTGCACAAGCCAGAGAAACATGAAGAAAATTTAAATCCTTCATAAGCCTACCAACCTGAGATAATTACTAATTATTTTCTTGTTATATTTGGGGTCATAATGTAATAGAGATTCTAACACACTTTATTATTTAACAAACAATGTACGGCCAGCTTTTTCTTCTGCCATTAAATAGTCTTTAGTGGCTAAGCATAACATCCATTTTGGGCAGAGCATATACTGAAATAAAAGACATTTAATTGAAATCAAGAAACATCAAAATAAAAATTAGTGCACTTGTCTTGAATGAATTAAGTATTTTGTGGATAAATTAACCTGGAACAACCAGCCTGTGGTATAAACTGTGGGTGGTGTAATAGGCAACATTTTCATTAGTATTGCATTTCAAATGATCTCTGCTACATAACTTAAGTGGTATCTGAGACTGACATATAACTTAATCTAAGAAGGCAGCCTCTTTTTCTAATTGAGACAACCAATATCAAAAGAACAAAGGCACAGGAAGCATTTAAAATATACTAGTATAATTATGAAAGGCAAAAGGGCACTTATGAGAAAGCAGGAAGCATGTTTAGGAATGATTAGCCTCAGGGTAAGACAATGCAGCCCCCATTGAGCGTGGGGTCTACTTCCTGTGGTCTAGGAATCACAAGCTTAACTGTGGGGCCTGGACAAGAGCCAGTGTGGGCGCCACGAGCTGGCTGCCAGTGTCCGTGTCCTGCTAATGATCCCCAGGCTCTTGTTCATCTCAAATACTTCCTAAAGAAGCGTATTTGTTAAACACCTAGAGCAGTGATGGCGAACCTATGACACGCGTGTCAGAGGTGACACGCGAACTCATTTTTTTGGTTGATTTTTCTTTGTTAAATGGCATTGAAATATATAAAATAAATATCAAAAATATAAGTCTTTGTTTTACTATGGTTGCAAATATCAAAAAATTTCTATATGTGACACGGCACCAGAGTTAAGTTAGGGTTTTTCAAAATGCTGACATGCCGAGCTCAAAAGGTTCGCCCGAAATTCTGTTTCTTTGTTACTAATGTTGTGGCCCCACCCCATAACAAAGAAACAGAATTTCCAGAGGATGAGGCCCAGAAATCAGGATTTTAAAAAGATTCCCAGGTGATTCTAATGTGCAGCCAAGGTTGAGAACCACTGGCCTAGAATGTAGCAGCCTCCTCGCTGGTGCTGGGGACACAGAGACACGGGATACTACCTCTGCTGTCCGGGACTCAGGTGCAGTGGGACAGACAGGACATAGACACAGAGCGACATTGCCACCCTGAATGAAGGTTTTGGGACACACAGATGAACTAGAGCACAGGGTGTCTTAGGGAAGGGGTGTTTTTCCAGAGGTATTACCTAAACTGTTCACAGAATGAGGAGCTGCACAGCTGGGCAAGCAAGTAGAAGAATGGCCAGGTTTTGCAAAGCCAAACTAAAGCAAGAGCTGAGAGCTCACACGCAGTGTGCCCACCCCATACTCTGAGTTCCAGAGGAGGCAGGAAGACAAGTGTAAACCCTGAGCCTTGTCGTCAGAATTAGCAAACCAAGTCACATTCCCTATGGTTTAGCCATCCCCTGTCCCCACTTCCTTCTCAAATGTGTTTACAGTCGCCCTCTGAGAAGGACTCACGGAGGTCACGGAGGTCGAAGAACAGCAGTCAGCTAACCCTAGAGGACCAATCTTGGTTGCACACACACACCTGTTTGCAAATCTGGTCTAAATCTCTCTCTGGTGTGCATTTAAGATTCAACTGGGCCCGGTTGGCATGGCTCAGTGGTTGAGTGTTGACCTCTGAATTAGGAGGTCGTGGTTCAATTCCCAGTCAGGGCATATGCCTGGGTTGCGGGCTCAATCCCCAGTAGGGGGCTAGCAGGAGGCAGCCAATCAATGATTCTCTCTCATCATTGATGTTTCTAGCTCTCCCTCCCTCTCCCTCTGAAATCAATAAAAATATATATTAAAAGAAAATGATTCAACTGGAACAACTGCATATTATTGTATTCCACTCACTCTGTTCTGTGGAAAGTCCCTGCTTACTTTGGATGGTGATGTTCATGCAGTGGTGGCATTGTTGACATTTACACTACAGTCACTTTACAGCTGTAACTTGAGAAGTGCCCTGGCGGAGGCACTCTATAGCTCTAGAGCAGGGGTCCTCAAACTACGGCCTGTGGGCCACACCCAAATACAAATATTGTATTTGTTCCCATTTTGTTTTTTTACTTCAAAATAAGATATGTGCAGTGTGCATAGGAATGGTACGGTCTTTTTTTTTTTTTAGTTTTATTCATTTCAAACAGGCCATAGTTTGCCCACGGCTGCTCTAGAGTCACTGGGAGGGTGAGACACGAGCCTGCCCAGCACAGCCACCCAGGCCCTATTTCTCCGTGCACTGTAGGATTTCTTCCTCAATGTTACTAGAACCCATACAGACAAAATGCTTTCAGCATCAAGAGCCCATGGAGTTTATAGCCAAAATATTATATTAGTGGTGTCAAGATTGCAGTGTACATACACACACACACACACACACACACACACACACACACAGCAGAATAGAATTTCCCTTTATCACAATTACAAAACTAATTTAAAAGTTTGGAATTATAACATTTACATATCAATATTACAAGTTTCTTTATTGGTGGTGTTGTCTGGAGAAAGCATTTAGATCTGCCCTCTTTAGACACTTTTGCTTGAAGATGTCATCAACATGCAACTCACCCAACTGTCAAGGCCAGCATTTTTTTCTCAGTTTTGCTTCCACGAAGGCCACAAGGCAAAGCCACTGCCTGCAAAACTAGGGCTGCACTGCACTCATCTTCTTTTAAAGATAAATGGAAACTAATGAGAAAAACATCAAGCAACAGATAATTCCTAAGAGGCAAATCAAGGCCAAACAAAGGTGCTTTCTTCAGTGGACATTGTTCATAATCGTTGCTAGGTGATTGGGAATCTGCACTGGGAATTCTGGTCAGCACCCCTGTGTCTTACTCCTGATGGAGTAGTGCTGGCAACTTAGCTAGAGTCGCTCTTCTGGGGAGCCAGAGAGTGTCACATGCCACAAAAAGCCCCACA